CTGCAGGTGCGCGTGTATCTTGGGAGTCCGCTGCACTTCCGGATGCCGCGTAGAGGCCTCTTCGGTGTTGTCGGCTCTGCAGTTCTGCGGGCCAGCTCAGCTCGCATCTTGTGCATCTCAGCCATCAATCGATCTTCAGTTTGATTAGCTTCCGCTTTGCGATCTGCTTTGGAAGCTTTTTCAGCAGGGGAAGATAAAGAAGAGCTGGATGAGCTTGACTTGCGCTTCTTGGTCTCCTTCTTCTTCTTGAGGCAAGGGCTCTTACTTTTTGTGCTTGCGGGAACCAGGGCTGCGCGAGTCACGAAAGCCATGTCGACGCCGGCCGCGGCCACGGGAGCGATCACGGTGATGACCATTCGCCCCTTCATCCCTTTCACGGCCATACCCTTTGCTGAAGGATGACGAGCGCCCATCACCAGCTACAGCAACTTCCAAGCGAACTGTCTGCGCAGGAGCCTGAGGGTATAGTGTGGCAAAGCTTGTCGCTCACGGTCACGCGGGTGAGGGGCACGACCATGGCCTCCACCCCCAGCATCAGCCATCCAAAGGTGGTAGAGCAAGGCCGTCCCGAGCAGGCATTGTCTCCATGCCGTGCTTCACTGAGTTCAAAGACCACTAGGCCTAGGGAACCCAAAACCTACACCCAATTTGAGCCCAAGGCACATTAACGAGAAAATAAACAAAAACTCCAATGAAACGTGCGAATCATGAGGGACTTGTCTCTCGTGCTGCACCGCTGGGCAACTCTGTATACTGCTTTCCTCAACGCTTTCTTCGACCAGCCATGCTTGTAGAAATCAAAGAAAAGAGCTAGCAGAGCCTCGGAGGTTTCCGCAGGTCCCAGTCCCATTTCACTCCAACGCGCTACGCGGCCAAGCAAGATGCCGAAGACATACTGTTTCTGCACCGCCCACGGGGGAAGAGCAACGAATTCTTTCCTCTTGGGAGTCCCTCACAACAGCTGCAACTCAATGCGAAAATCAAGCCATGACAAAGCACCCTGAACAGGTCCTTCGACTTCAAACGGAACTGAGTACACATGGCTATCCCATCGCGCAAGCACAAGGCTCGACTGAGCCAGCGCACATCATCCACATACCTTGCCCTAGCCCTAGCCACTAAATGAGGCCACAGGCGGTCAGGGAAGTCAAAATCTGCAGTTTGCCTCCGACTCCGGTCTGTGCGCCAGCAATGCTCCTGCCATCCAAGTACAAAGGACGTGGCCCGTCTTGGATAGGAGGCCTCCTATAGGGAGCCGTGAGAACGTCCAGACTTGCGTGCCTGTATGGGCAAACCGCATGTTGCAAGCTGCAGCGAATAGCCAGTATAGCTCATCCAACGAGAAGACGAGGCACTGCTGCATGGAGCGGTAGCTGCTTCCACCAAAAAGACATGCTTCTTTCGAGCAACAGTAACAGAGGAGTGGCCGTCAAACTCAGCTATGTTCAACGGTCAGCCGCCGCACAAGCATCAGGGACCTGCACGGCTTCAAAGAACTGGCCAGCATCAGCCACAATGCCTTGCAGTCCTTCGCATGGACCATGGCAATGATCGTAGACGTGTACTTCCCGGCACGGCTGCAAGCGTTCCAGGCCCGCAACCACAAAAGGCCTGGCCTGTTTTAACGAAGGCACCTCATCAGTCAAGAGGACACTTTGGGCAACTCAGCGCACGGCCAGCTGCACGCCAGCTGCGACGTGCCTTCCATGCAGCATACCAGACAATGCGGCGAAGGCATGAATGTCCAGGTTTGTTGCAGACATGTTTTCCCGCATCAGGGCCAGACCCAAAGCATTTGGCTTTCACGGTCCCGTACATGTACGGGAGGAACCAGCCTCGGCGTGTGATCCCCATTCTCGCATGTAGCATGGGCGGCACAGGGCCAAGAGCATAGCGCGGCACCAAGAATTTGCTTCATCAGTAGACATGGAGGAGGTGGTCCACGTTCGCGACACAGATACAAACCATGCAATCAAAAGGAAGTACGCCGTGTAAGGCATAACCCATCTGAACTGTCGCACCTTGTCATCTGGGCAAACAACGTGGCCACGTGGGAACTGCAAGTTGTCCCGAAGGAAGGCGTAGGGTGCGTGGCTGTGTGCTCCCGCAACCAGTCTTGGGACTGCAGCTGGGTCTGCGTCGCACTGGAGATGGCAGTATGACGATGACAGGCATGGGACCACAAACACCTTACGGAGCTCACGGCTTTCCTAACTGCGGCAACGTCAGAAGCCTTGGTGGGCCTTGCAGTAAGAAGCCAGTTGTGCTCCAATCGTTTTGTTTTGGAAGAGACCTTAGCAACATCCATGGTCAGCAGCTCAGCACCGCCCGCGGCAGACCAGTCAAACCCCCGGGCAAGGCGAGAGCAGTTCTGTGCATCACGACCGGAAGCCCCCGTGTCACAAGATGCAAACGCCACTATTTCCCAGAGCCCACGTACGTGTGCGCGCCATCATGTGGCCTTGGGGAGCATGGCTGCTGAGAATGCTGGCAATCAAAATGCTTGCAAAGGCGATACCTGAGTTAAGACGGGGATGACAGCAGCCTCAGACAGCTTAGGACCTGAAGGAAGTTGGAAAGTCAGTGCATCTCTAGCTGCCGAATCCGCAGAAGAAGTCTGCATCACAACCTGCAGCGGATGCCTACTCAAGCAACCTGCAAGCAAATTACTTCACAAGTTTCTATCAACGAAAGTGGTATACGATTGGAGACATCGCGAAGGCGGAGAACACGGAGGCATGGTACTCGCTTCACGAACAAGAATGGAAATGTCAGTCGGACAGTTGGAAAGAAGTGAGTCGTGATGACATTGTCAGGATTCACGCGCAGCCTCGAGAGGAGCTGTGCCACCCCAGCAAGATCCGAGAAGCCCTCATGCCTAGACGGCTGAAGTACCGATGTACCTATATGGTCGATGAGCCTGGACATGTCAGTACGGCTCAAGACAAGTGGGTACGAAAGGGCAAGAAGCCAATCAACATGAAGTCAAGTTGGACAGGCTTCACTGTGTTCTGCAGCCAGCCGGTCAACCTTGAAGCGCTTGCCGGAGGGAGACCCCGCAACGGAGGCTCATGAGGCCCTGGCACAAGGTTGTCTTCGTCTTCGTTACATTCGGTTTCAGCAGCTACGCCGTTTGTTCAACATGCTGCCCACCAGAATCCACACCAGAAGCCTTTGAAGTTGTGGACTGCATGATGATGTTCCTCGGTCTATAGTCCTTGGTGCTTGTGTGTTTGGGGGAACAGCTTCGGTTCTCACGGCGACCTGGGAATTAACTCACTCGGCTTGTTTGCACGATTGTAACATCTCTAAGCACTGGCTCTTTGTTCAGCACAGTTTTTCTTCGTTTGAATGTTCCGAGCAGTCTTCACACCGATTCTCACAACCACCCCGCCATCGACAACATTCTGATTCCGCTCAGCAATTGGCAGGGAGGTGAACTATGGTGTCAGGACGAGGCCGGTACATGTCAGTTGAGCCCCAACGGTCCGACTGGAAAGCAGACTATGCTCACTATGCCAATGATTCGCTTCAATGCAAGACTGCCTCATGCAGTCCTGCCATGGACGCGTGGATGATTGGCGTATCAGTGAAGAGACGACTGCTTTTCTGGAAAGCCTTGGTTTCCAGCTGTGCTCGCAAGACTGTGCAGTTCATGATCCATATGGGTTTGCAGACCAATTGCCTGGGTGGCAATGGGCGATCAGTGCAAAAAGCTGAAATGCCGTTATGAATCGTTGCAGCTTTGCTTTTCAGACTATAGCCAACTGGAGCCATTCTCTGGACCCACCTGCTGCAGAGGTACCCCAATGGCTGCAGTATCTGCTGAAGCTCTCTGCAAATGTTGTGAGCTGACTGTTCATCAATGCCTGAAGCGAGTATAGACGATTGTAAAGATGTACATGCTGCGCAACTTAGCTGTACAAGTGCCTATCGGGCAAATGAAGATGCTGGTAGCCGAAACGTCCTGGAGGCCGTCTCGCTTCCTTACAGTTGGAGGTGCACTGCTTGTTGGGACTAACGGTCCGGCTGCATTCTCTGCTACCAATGTTCTGTTAATGTATTCAAGCTGATGCTTGCTCGTTCGCTCTGGTCTAAGCTGTCCAAGTGATGGCCGGCCTCTTTAGGTCGCCCAAAGGGGCCACGCAAAGACGTTTTCGGATGTTTGCGCTTCGAGAAAGACAGAGACAGAGAGAGAGAGTGAGTCACATTCCTTCAAAGACACCCCAAACAGTGGGGGGCCTCTAAAGGCCAGGGAGTCTTGAACGCCCCCTATGCCCTGATGAAGGAATAGAGTGAGAGAGAGAGAGTGAGAGTAGGAGTAGGAGTGGGAGTGGGAGTGGGAGGAGTGGGAGGAGTGGGGGTAGTCGGAGTAGTAGGAGTAGTAGGAGTAGTAGAAATAGTAGGAGTAGTAGGAGTAATAGGAGTAGTAGGAGTAGTAGGACTAGTAAGAGGAGTAGGAGTAGGAGTAGGAGTAGGAGTACGAGTAGGAGTAGTGGCAGTAGCAGCAGCAGCAGTAGCAGCAGCAGTAGCAGCAGCAGTAGCAGAAGCGCAAGTAGAAGAAATACAAGAAAGAGAGGTGGCGATCTGTGGCCCACGGGGGTACTTAGAAGCAAACTCTGATGAAGACTGAAGACGCGGACAGCTGGGCTGGGCAAAGGATCAACAAGAGACTATGACTTAGGTGTTGATTTGTGGCCTGCAGGAGTACCTAGAAGCAGAATTATCATGAAGGCAGGGCCAAGCGTATCCTCCTTCTCTTGACATTTGGAAATTAGGAACAAACTTTGCATCAAGCCTCAAGGTGTCAAGAATGGGCGGAGTTTTTGTTTGTTTTATCGGCGTGAGCTTTACTTGCCAGCAAAGCGTTGGCGCAATAGCAAAACCTGTTGAGTTTACAGTGAGTCCGCAGTGGACAGTCCTCGTACCACATTGCGTTTACACTGTCGGCAGGCTCTGAGAGCCGCAGCTGGTTGCCTTGACATGAGCAGAGGCTGCCAATGGCAGGAGATTCGCCATCGAGCGGCAGCACTGCAAGCCATGTGCCTTTGCGAAAATTCGGCCGGGCGTCGCCAAAGAGTTGGACTCGGTACGCAGCCCAGGACCATTGCAAAGACGAGAGGCCTGGGTCCAAGACGGTGATGCTTGAAATGATGCACGTGAGCTCAGTCCGTCGCAAGGTCGCCGGGGTCCAGTTTATTGCAATCGCCGCATGGCCCAAGCGATGACGGCGATGTGGCTCGACCCGTGCCAGTCAGCCTAGACCGTCAGCATTGTCCGATTGGCGCAAGCGGGCTCAGGCGAGCACCACAGAACCCAACAGCGACGACGGCGGGCCTGAATCTGAGACACTTAGACACTGTCGCGCAGGTGGCTGAGGGTGTTGGGACGCCTGTCGCAATCAATTTGGTTCACATCAGGAAACAGAGTCATGCTGGTCACAAAAATGCCTCTGCGCCGGAGGCCTTATCGGGCCTTACTTCATTTAACCCCTGCTCCCCGACCCTCTCTTGTCCCCTATCAGCACCGTCGGCGCAAGGGGGCGTAAGAAGAGAATCTTATCAAAGGTAGCAACACGCGTGGTTCAGTCCAGACTTCAGTCCAGACAGCATTAGCACTTTCATTTTCGTTGAGTGGACCAGGAGCTCGGGGCACTCCAGGCGGAACTCAACTCTCAATCGACGCTTGGCATGATGCGGAGACCGACCTAAGCCCGTTGGAATCAGCGTCCCCGTGCATAGAGCTCTGGGGTTTAAGTTTGAGGGGACTGCAAAGCCCGAGGATATGCCTGGGGCCTCTGACTCTTGGGATAAAGTTCAGAGCATAGGGTTTCCAGACTATGCCTAGAGGTGAGGGTTCAGAGCTATTCCAGGGAATTCCGGCAGCCGTTGGTCTGCATTGTGCTGTGCCGCACAACACCACAAACTCGTAACAGTCGCTCCTCAAAGTGAATTGTTCCAGCCACGGTCTCCGCTCGCATCCAGCATGAAGTTCTTCACAACCTGCGCTGTCTGCTCCTCACGACATGTCCGTTGCAAACCTTGATCGCAAGCCTAGACTACTCTAGACTTCTTAGACATCTCACCTACATCCTCGTACGCTACCCGAAACATGCAAGTTTGAGCCGCAAGCCCTAGACTGTCAGTCCTGAGTTTTTTTCACCCACCCCGCCTTCAAGCTTGAGTAAGAGCATCTGCGCCCTGGTTTGAAGAGCTGTGCTCGAGAGTTTCGGCCGGTCAGCACCCGAAAAATCAAAGCGAGATCTAGTAGGGAAAGGGCAGTTTATCTTTCTCAAAGCTGCCTACCAAGACAAGTATCACTGTAGCAGATCGGAGGTCAGGTTTTCACTTCTCGTTCTCGGCCCTCCCAATATCGGTCGCTCACGCGGTTGAGGTGCTTCGTGGGCCAACTCAAGCCGCAAAGCTTCCCGCCAACTACTGTCGTGGCGCCGTCGACGATGTGCCTTGAGCAGCAACCAGCCCTGCCAGAGTGGCGCATTTTCTTGGAGGTTTTGAGCAGAACCATGGTGGAGGGAAGGCTTTGAACTTACATCTTTGGGCCACTTGTTTGGAGTTTGGCTTGGAGGTGGTTGAATATTAGGGGGGTTTAGTGGTAGGGGGAAGTGATTAGCTCAAACTTGTTGAGCTTGCAGCTTGCAGTGAATCCACACTGGACAGTCCTCGTACCAAAGGTCGTTTACACAGTCGGCAGGCAGTCGGCAGGTGAGAAGAAGATGAAAAGAAGGAAGGAGGGAGTATAAGAAGAGAGGCAGAGAGAAAGACATGAAGCACGGGAGGCAGGAAGCAGGGAAGGAAGACACGGCAATCAGAAGGAGAGCCGTGGAAACCATAAGCAAAGCTAGAGAGTCCTAGAGAGCAAGAAGGAAGGGCAACCGAAGAAGGAACGAGTCAATGAGAGACAGCAAGAAGGGAAGACCGGAAACAGAGAACTACACCGACCAGGAATGAAAGAAACGATTAAAACAAGCGTGACAAGACGACGTGTGAGGAAAGAATCAAACTCAGAAAGAATCACCGATGCCAGGATGGACAGGATCAATTGCAATCGCGTGGAGTTTCGCAAGAGAAGCGTCCTGGGTCGTTCAACAAGGTGTTGTGCATCCTGCGGCTTGCTCGAGCTGCCTGGCGAGTGGCCTGTCGAAATTGTCGAATGGAAGCCCGGTGTATTCTGCCTGCAATGAAGTTTGGCATGCTCGGGGCTTGTGCGAGTGAGCCGAGGATTGACTTTTACCATTTGCTCGGCGCACGGCAATTCAGCAGACTTCGCGTGGCATGTGCCCGTTTCGCCAGCTACGAGGCGTCAACAAAAAGTGGACAGAAGTTTGTGTGCGAGCTTTCGCTGGGTTGGAGGTCTTGGTGAAGAATTTGCTGGCCGATGCATGCAGGCTGGAAACGGATTCTGTCTTTGCTCGCAGATGCATCCGCTCACGTATGATGTTCTGTCCAGCCTTGAGGCCAGATGTAGTCTGGAGCAATTACATCCTGTCCTGGGCCCCGGTTGGGCCGCGCCCTGTCAGCGAGAGACGCCGTTGCCCGAAGTGGACCAATGCCGTGCTTCGCAAGCAGATGGTGCGGGATTTTGCAGTGGTCTCCGCCTCTCGCAGCTACTTTCCCGCATATTCCACATGTTTCTGCCTCTGGCCTCTTTGATCTTTCGTCTTTCCTGCGACTGCAGTCCAAGGTTTGCGTTGGCTTTTGCGGGGCCAGAGGCAATGGAAATTCTACGCTCCGGAGTGCATCCAGAGCTTCAAGACGGTCCTCGCAACATTGTGCTTGTCTGACGATCGTGCCATCGCAACAGCCGCAGAGTGCACCGCCGGAAAGGCAGACAGGATGAATGCGGCGTGAGCAGGAAAAATGCCGCTGCCTTCAGCGTGTGCATAGTGGCCGCCGCGCAAGCTGTGCGTTGAACCAAAGGCGAAGTCACCGAGTGACCCGTTTTCGGGATTGCTGCAAGCAGTTGTTTAAAAAAATACTTGCCAAGTAGGCAGGCCAAGCGAACCAACCTTGCACGGGCGTTATAGAAATGGACTCTTCTGGCGTTTTTGCATGCCGGATGAGGGCGGGGGGGTTCAAGGAGGGGGGCAAGGAGAGGGGCACGAGTGGAGAGGGGGGAAAGGAAGGGGGGAAGGTGGAATCGAGGGGTGCAGTGACATGTTTTTCGAGCCGAGAAGGTGACAGTACAGCAGAGCAGAATCCACCCGAGGAGCCGGCACGTTCGGTTGGTGTATGCTGGCTTGCGTGATGCTGTGTCGTGGACGCTGGGCCTAGACAGCTGATGCTCATACTGCTTTTAAAGGCGCTGGAACCCGACCAAAAGCGTCGTGAGCGTAAGTTGCAAGCCTGGTGTCCGATGGGCAACATCGTGAGCATGAGCGGAAACTTTTGTTGGGCCCATGGGCGTCAGTTCACAGCTGAAGCAGCCTCAAACTTAAAACCATGCTCTCGCAGCCAATCAAACAGGCTTGCCTGGGCATGTCTGGTGTGCAGTTGGGAGATTCTGTAGTTCAGGGTGGATTCAGTTTGGCTTGCGTCGCGCTTGCAGCCGTTTTACAGTCTGTCTTGTTGGTGCCTTTTCGAAAGCAAAGACAATATGATGTGGGTGCTGAGCATGTTTGTTTTGCTTGTGGTTGTGCTTGCTGCTGATGACGGCGAAGATCATGACGATCACCGTGTCACCACCGGACATTATGCCCGGACCTTCGACTTGTGTCCGATGGCCCGATGTCACCGACTGTTCCGAACCATGTCTGAGGACTTGATGAGAAGAATGTTCATGGCAGCCGTCCTGATGGGGTGGGCCTTGGTGGTCCAAAGGGGCCACCAAGAGCTCCGGGCCCTCCATCGAATGCTCCAGGTCCCAGGTCCGATAGTCGATTCATGCGTGAGGGTGTTTTGCAAGTGGTTCAGGAGCACGACAAGCATCGAAAAGATCGGAATCGGAGAGATGGAGGAGGAAGCAGCGGTGCGGGAGGAGGAAAGAAGCGTGGAGGCCACAAGCACGCCTAAACCGTTGCTTGTTGAACTCGGGGCCCAACGGTCTCTTTTGAGGCTTGAATCCAGACTGTCTGCTGTCCAGTTATAAAAAACTTTGGAGTCGGATCTAGCTGCAGTCTCCCCTTATGGCAGGCTGGACTTTCTACCGGCTCAAGTCGTGGATACTTTTGCAAGTTGAAGTAAAACGAAGCAGATGTTGTGCGGTTCACCTACAGACGTCTGACATTTCCATCGGCCCAAGTCGTGCATCTTGTTGCGGTTCTCATCGCAGACGGCTGCCCGGCAGAAGCCGCAATCACCACTGCCCCGAGTCGTGGATCTTGTTGCAGTTTCGCAGCAGAAAGCTGCGATTTCCGCAGCCGCAAGTCAGCCAATATTGTAGCCTTAGACCCAACACTGCAATCCGGAAACTCTTTTGCGCTTGTCCTGCTGCTTTTTGTGATGGGTGCAGGTGGCTCCAGTATTTCCCTTACAGCAAGCAAGTATCAAATCCAGTGTCCGTGGGCTTGCATTTCAAAAGAAGCAGAGTGACAAGGAGGAGGGGGAGTGGTGGAGGCCGGTTCAATACTTGTGAGTTGGCTTGTCTTTAAAAATAAATAGAGGGCCTCGGTTCGTCTGAGAGTCTGAGATGCCTGAATCAACTTGCAGGGGAGTGCTTCTAACGCCAAGGCCTTTCAATAGACTTTGCTTTGGGTATTGAGGTCACGCCAGTGTCAGGCTTGGACCTGGATTCACTGCAGGGGCAGTGGCATTGCTTTGCATGCGCTTCATGTGGCTTACCTTTCTGCCCAGCAACTCCCAGATGGGACAGGCTCAGAATCACTTGCGCCGTTCTTCGTGTCGCTTCTAGCTTAGTTTGCTCAAGGGGGCTGTCCTTGAGAGTGCAGGTGAGCTCGATTGGAGTGATTGTAGCATGTTGTATGACATTGCACATGCGCACGACCAGGTTCAGGAAGTAAGCCTGTTCTTCATGCAGCGTCCCGAGTTGCTGCCTCCAAGTCATATGGTTGAGCTTGCTAGAGCTCCTACGGGGCAGAGGCCTCCCAACTACCCTTATCCAGTAAACCAAGGTGATCGCACTGTGTATGGCGATGATGAGGTCGAGCTTGATGGTGATGTTGAGTCCGGTGGTGCTGTGAGCAGTGCGAGTGACGATGATCATACTCAGGCATGCCTAGGCGTCCAAGTCCTGGATCGGTGGCCTCGCAGGTTAGCGGTAGAAGTGTTGTTGCAGTGGGTCTTGCTGCATCGGTGCATTCGGCACGGGCTTCTCGGCAGGTCAGTGAGGAAAGTGCCGGGGAGTTGTAGTGCTTGGTCATTTTTCTTGTAGGTTCTAGCATGTTGCTGGGTGCTTGGTGCTTGTACACTGCTTGGTCTGCTTGGTGCTGTACTGGGAGCCGGGATGCAGAAGTTATGTCTGATGAAGCCTGGTCGGTGTTCTGCCGACGAGGGTGATCAGTGTCTGTGTCAAAGAAACTCCGGTTTGGAAGCGTAGGAACACACCAGTTGCTCCTTCGCCGGTTGTGAATAACAATTTTACGGCTGAAGTGTTGGGATGGAGTATGAAAGTAGGAGGGTTGAGATCCAAGTTGTAGAAACTTCTGCCTGCGCAAGCTCCTCTGATTTAGGACGTTGTGACAAGGTCTTTGGAAACTCAAGTAGTCCCCAGCAGACAACACCAATCCCAGCAGGATCTTTGGGTTTAGGACTCTCCGGCAGGCCAGCACGTGATGTCGAGAACTGTTGGATTTTAGTTGGCGATCATTGGTTTAGCCTATCAACTTGTGGTCCATGCGGCAGCAATGCAAAAGTGCCCGTTTCCGTTTTGCTCTTGGGGAGGCATCCATGGCACGTCGTCTACACAGAACATGGTTGATTCGCAGAAGTTTGCAGCAAGTAGGGCGAGCAAATTCTGGATGAAGTGATCTGTGCCAATATGGCAGCCGCGAAGCACTGATCATCACAAAGCCTGAGATGGACCAACTCATGATGCCGGAGGCGCTGCCGCCTCAGATGCAGTGCAAGCATGGATTTAGTGTAAAATTTAGTGGGAGCACAAGCAGGTCTCTTTTGGTGCTGAAGTGCACAGCGTCCCTGCGTCGCTTTTCGAGTCGCCAAGATCTCATCGGCATGACATTCTCAAAATTGTTTTGGGCCCCACTGGGCCCCGTGATTTCTGCACACTGTTTTCGAGAGACCGGCGGAGTCGCTGGGAAGGAGACACGCGCAGTTAGGATGCGACATGCTCAAACGGTGTGAATCAAACTTGGGCGGCGCTGCCTAGCCATGCATCGGCTTGGGCAAACAGATAATCAGATCGTCCTAATTTCGTCGCACTTTGATGGCATACTCCACTGTTGCACAAGGCGCAGTCACGCATCCCTGGGAACTTTGCAGCAGAAATTACAGTTCCGTGTAGTGTAATGCGGCTGAAAGTGGGTGTTCCACTTGGCACACGAACTTTCGCAATGCATCATGTGTTCGGTTCAATGTGTGAGATGAGTCGACCTTCTTTTTATTGCACATTCTGCTTGGTCGGGGGAAGATGGAAATGAGGTGCAAAAGAACGGCTTCATCGCAGTGGCGGGCCCGGAGAGACAGCAGCAACACCTCCTTGCGCTCCTGAGCTCCAGCTCGACGCTCCGCCGCTTTTGCTCAGGTGTTGGGCCTGGTGCTCGTGGTGCTCCCGTGCCTGGCTCAGCACGGCCCACGACGAGCACCGAACAGCGCAGCCAAACGGGGCAGGCTGCGGCGCCGGTGGCTTACTGGTCTCCAGAGGACGCAGGCCCGGGAGGGCGGAGGGTAGACTGGTATAGACCGCGCCAAGCGCCCATTCGCTCTGCCGGAACTTTACTGGAGGCCTTGTGCAACCACAGGTGCCTTCAGGCAGAGCTTTGTTTCTTCCAGCTCAACAGCTTATTTGCAGATTCTAATGCCTCCCAGGCGGACGGACCCCAGCACCAGTGACCCGAGAGATAGAAAAGCAAATGACACACATTGAACACACCAAGCCAGAGGTACGGACCCACCACGTGCAGCTCGGATGCAACAATGCCTTGATTGGACAATTACATTACATAGTCGGATCCTAAGAATCCCAAGAGGGAGCACGACAAAGGTTCGCTTGGCACGGATCGCAGCCGAATCTGGGTATCTCGGCCCATCCCAGAGCCGCCTCAGTGACAGGTTGGGAGCGAGCATTACATTGGAGTCATTCAAGCACATTGGAGCCAAGGCAAGGCTGGCAGGAGTCAGGAGCCAAGCTGCCACTGTCCATCTTGTAATGTTGAGATTTGGCGAGTTCAGAAGTGGAAGCTGAACCATCCTCCGGAAGAGGCTTGGGGTGCTTGCTAGTCAAAAAACAAAAAGCAAGCAAAAACGATGCTATGCCTGTATTTATCAACCTCCATGTGTGTTCTAAATTCTTGTGTGCATGCTGTGCATATGGCTGATGTCAAGAATTTTGCAAGAGCGATGCGCCCTAAATTAACTTGCCGCGAACAGTTTTGCAAACATGAATGCCAGCACTGTGCTGTCATGCTGCAGTTCAACTTGTTCGTTTTGCCTCATTGTCAAGCTCGTGCCGTTTTCAACGTCTTTCATTGAAATCCCTCTTCCAAGAAGATCGATTGTTTCCCCGTTGGAGCCAGATGTTAGTGTTGGCTGTCTGGGCAGCGACTTTTGCGCGGATTTCTTTGCATGGCCCTGCAGGGCGGATGTTCTTGCGATGTTTCTAGCGGACTTTGCCGATGATTTTCTGCAGATTCTAGCTCCCTCCAAGAAATCCGCACACAAATTCCCGTGCACCACCGGCCAACAACTCCGCATGTCAAACAGTAAACAACAACCGCGCAAACCTTGCCCAGGAGCCAGTACCAACAGGTCTGCCTCTGCGGCAAACTCGCACACCTTCGGACTCTTTTGAGAAGCCCATTCTCCCAGGCAGAGATTGCCGTGTGGCCTGATGCCGTCGCAAGCGCCATGCCGAGAATCAAGCCGAGCGGGCCGAGCAGCGGCTCATTGCAGATTCCCTCTTCTGCCTCTTCTGAGGTGTCTGAGCTGCTGGACAGAGACATCACGCCGGAGGATTACGAGATGCCGCGCACGCAGCTTTTCGAGTTGCGTGAAGCGCATGCAAAAGCCCCTTAAAGCCCAGGCTGCTGCAGCTGGACGAAGCCTTGGAGCGACCTGCCGGGAACGAGAGCTGGAAGCTCACTGGAGGCTCTTGTTCTTGCAGCCCGCAGTCGGGGGGCTTCCCCGAAACGAGGCGAGAAACTGCGGCCAGTGGCAACAGAGGTGCAATTTTGAGACGACTCTCACCGAATCCGAACAAATCATCTCGTCTGAACCCAGGAGCTTCTTGGTGAGACTTGCGCCATTTGTCTGCACGCTTTCGAGAGGAGCCGCAAGTGGGGCCGAATCAGACCCACAGCTCTAGATGCATCAATCGCACCAGGACGGATGCCTTGTCTGCCCTGCCTTGCTCGCACGCCTTCCACGAGGCTTGATCAGAGCTGCGAAGTCCTTGCGCACGCATGCGGTGATCTTCTGAGGCCTGCATCTCCAAGTGGATGATGAAGAGATGTGCTTCCTGCCCGCTCTGTGGTAAATGATGCCCGACCCCGAGCAGAGCACCCGAGCAGAGCCCGCCCAGAGCCCTGGCCCTGGAGAGCTGGCCCTGCTGCACTGCAGGCCTTGAACTTCCCCGATTTTGGGCGCTCCCTCCTAGAGATCTGCCTGGGCCTGGGCCTGGGCAGAGCAAGGCTAAGCAAAAGGAGGACTTGGTCGAAGCACTCTGAACTCTTAGTCTGTCATTTATATTTCGCGTTTAGAGTGAAGCAGGCATCTCGACGAAATCCTCCGTTTACAGAGCTTGTCTTCCGATATAAGTGACCCTGGGCCGTGGGGTGCTGCCATCGCGCGGCCTTCCGGGCCATTTATACAAGTGCATCTGCGCGTGACTCGGGCCTGCGGTTTGCCAGTCTGCTAGGTCCACCAATGAATCAGTGGAGAGTCCTAGTCATGCGAGAATTCATGTGTACATATATCAGATCTGGCAGCTGAAATGTTGCACGTGTGAGCACAGCGCCACAAGTTTCCAGATACGCCATCAAGTTGCACCAAAAAGCGTTGCAAACCCTGTCGGACGAAAAAGGCCGAAATAGATTGCAACGGTGGCATTTGCGCAGGCCAACCCAGACCCGAATCCGAGTGTAGTTCTCAGAACCGAAGCTCGGAACCCTAAGCCTGGATTGGTCAAAGCCGTGACCGATACTCGGGCTACGGTACTTCATGTGCCATCATAGCAGCCCAGACGTTCAGTGTCTTGCCTGAAGCAGGGATTACGTCTCCAGTCGCAGAGCAATACATACATCATGAGCGGCAAGATTCCTGGTCGAAGATTGTTTAGACATTCTTAAACCAGGCTACTCGCGAAACGAGCTGAAAAGCTTACAGAAGCCCTGCGCTAGACATCTAAGTGCGCAAGGCAGGTTGTGCGAAGCCACGGACGATAATCGAGGGGTCGCGGATGTGGCGCGTGCGATGCGATACGGCTACACGAGCTCAGATAGCATCTCCGACCCGCGTGGAGCCCTAACCGCAAGGTAGTCCCGGCCCTCAGCGCTCTCCCGCCTTATCGTTTTCGAAGGGCGTGCGCGAATGCGCACGCCCGCTCTTGTGAGTGAGTGAGTGAGAGTGTGTGTGTGTATTTAAATCCTGTTTCAAAGGAAGGCTTTGTTGACACTTCTTTGACAATAACTTAAGTCTTTAAGGATTCAGTGTTGGAAGTTTTCGAACGAGCAACAATGAGCGGTGCGCCAGTCCAACAGAGAGGCTTGCATCGAACACTGATCGATCTCCGGTCTGATCAACTGGGCGCACCTGCGAGATGAGTCTCCCCTTCCATTGGCTGTAATAGGCAAGCCTTGGGATTCCAGACTTACGGTGCAATGCATCAATAGAGCATCAAGTCTTTGGTCTCTTTCGAAAGTATGGTCCAGATCAACTTCCCCTTCTGCCCCTTATTATCAGTATACAGGAAGCCTGGTGTGCAAGAACCGGCTTCGGCGGGGCTTCAATGCTTGTGTGTGTGTGCCTTCGTTCGGGGAGATGGCATGTTTTGTTTTAATCTCTGGCGGTTTATGAGTTTCGATTCCCGGCAAGTTCTGTTTTCGGCAGCTGTCCTTTGGGATTGCTGATTCGCATTCGACCAACGGCAGAAGCTATGGCTCGACTTGGAGAATCATGGCGCGCAATGCTGTGAATTACTTGGCACCCCACCGCCTGCAGTTCGGCAGGCAGCTTCTGCCGTTAGCTTAGGTCAGAGCAGGTGCCCCAGCTTCTTCAGCTTCAGAAACTGTTGTCCGCTGAGCCAAGGTTAGCGAAAACGACCTGACACCAGGCTGAGCAGGCGTGGTCTCCCTTGGACTCGACCCACCACGCCAGCAAAGCCTGGCAGCTGCCGTGCCTGTGAGGTATGTGGAGAACGTCCATGCGACTCTGGTCCATTCTGCTTGTGACTGGAGCGACCGCAGTCAAACCACCGCAGGAGCGTTGTCTCGCTTTGCACAGATGACTTGCGATTTGTTAGTTCTGCAGGCTCTCCTTGTGAAGCTTCAGAGCGAATCCAACGAGGTCCAACGAAAAGGGGTGATCAGTCTCGAGCCGAAGCACACGAGCACAGGTTCCAGGAAGCGATCAATTCGTGGCCCAGCCGGTGGACAACGAGCACGATCAGGAGTGCCTTTCTCTGCTTGGAACGCGTTCGGAACTTTGATTGTCACAGGGGCCCCCTCGACCTTTCTGGGTGCCTTCCTCGAGGGTCGCCAGCTGAACCATGTCGCAAGGCTTAATGGCTTACTGCCTACCAAGGTGTTTGACTTCGATGCACTGGAGACGAAGGAGGTTCGCATTACTGCCATCAAGGATCCCCATGTCGACTTGACAGGGTTGGCCTGCAGGCTTTGCTTGGTCGTTTCGCGGCGCACTGCAATGTCAGAGTTGGACAGGCGTGGAACTGCGGTTTGGTCATGGCCACGGCGGGGATCCTTTGTGCCGCCGGGGGAATTGGCGGCGGAGGTCCGTGACGTGCAAGAGAGCGAGACCGGGTTAGAGAGGGGCGCGGCTGTGTCCCAGTAAGCCAGTAGGGGAATCGGAATTGATGTTGCTGCGCTGTTTATGGGCGGTAGGGCAAAGGCATCAATGGCGCTAACCGACAGTGGAGAACAGAACGAAAAGATGGTGCATGCAGGAATCTATGTGACAGTTCTCATGGTCGCTGGAGGCTTGCAAACACTGCATAGCTTGAGACGAAGATGTGCTGCAGCTGTACCAGGCTTGCCCGTGCGGGATGCCGTGCCTTTGTCCAAAGCCGTTGTCTTCATCGGGTCGATCTCCTCGCTCTTCCTGAACTTGAGGCAGGAGCCATGTTGAGGGCAGACTACCCGGCCCCACTTTCACTAAAGGAAGGCGACTGCCAGCAGTGATCCGCTGATCGACTACAACGTCTGCCGGCTAGCGAGGAGCCGAGTAACGCTTGGCGTGAAGAGGGAAAGCAACATCGAGTGGTATCACTGCGGAACGTGCAGCAAATCACCGAAAACATCAGGACACATGTTTTGCGTTGAATCTATAGATTTGAGTGTTCCCTCTAGTGGACTTCGATTCGCGGGGCTTCCAGAGTCCTTGTGCAGCTTCTGCTGGACGCAGGGGAGAGGCCAAAGACGCATGTTTTCACCGAGGTGGTTCCTGCTGCTTTGGTCGGGACCTACATTGGCGTCCTCTTGAACTCCTTGGTCCCCACATGGGTGCGATGCTCAAAAGGGGCCTTTTCCGTGGCTTTTTAGGCCAGGCGGGCTTGGTTTCAGGCAGTGCTGCTGGCCTTGGTCGGCATTCTGGTGGCCATCTCCTACATGATCCTGCTAACGACTTGGCAACAGCACCCTAGCAGCATGCTTGGCAGAGCTCAGATGCGCTCATCCCTCCAACGAGCGGTCTGTTGGGAGGTATGCCGAAGAAGAGCACTTCAGCTCCTCTGTGGAAAGGAATGCGAAAGCTTCCTCGATTTCTCATGCAAAGACCGTGAGGGCCTTATTGGAGGCTTGAAGTCACTGGATAAGACCTGGCAATGCTGCACATCTAGAGGAGAATGTTCCAGAAGTGAGCATCAAGTATGCGAGGGAGGTGCAACGCATGCCGCCGGAATGTGGAAAGTTTCTACATGTAGGAACTTCGTGAACACTTAGAGGGTGTAACCGCAGGTGCCACAGACGGTCACGAGAACCGATGTCATCCTCTCAGCTGCTCGCGCCCAAGAGCAGTAACGAAGGTGATAGGTGTGAATGTGTGTGTGTGTGTGTGTCTGTCTGTCTGTCATCCCTGTATCGAAGCGCAAGTTTCTAGAAATGTTTGTCATACTGCATTAGAGGCAGGAGGCTGGAGTGCATCGCAGAAGAACCACCCAACGAAGACACTTCTGTGATCGCAGTGAAAGCGTACCTGCAAGATGGCGTCTTTGGGGAGAGAACTCAAGCTGATGGCCATCGTGGTAGCTTAGCTGTTTGCTTGCATCGTTATTGCATTCTGCGCTTTGACATGTCTTCTTGCGCAGCTTGCATGTCGAGTTGTGCAGCCGCTGTAATCTGAACCTGAGCCGCGAGTCCCGTCTCCAACATTTGGCATACCCGCACATCCCTAAACGTTAGTGTACAGTATGGCATCAGAGCCACATCACCGGCGCATTCCAGATCAGCAGATTCACAGATCTGACGCAAGTTTGTTTCAGTGTAACTACCAAGCAAGGTTGAGTTGCAGTAGCATTGGGATTCTGAACAACTGAGCCCCGCATGTTCTGGACCAGCTGCATCAACAACAGCGAAGACTGCGAACTCAGAGAAGCAAGCTGCTTCTGAGGAAGCATGTGCAAGTTCACCAGACATTTTCGCAAAATCAACTTATGTAATCCGATAAATGAAAGTTGTGTGTTCATTATAGACATGGAAAACTGTACTGCGATGTTCTGAGTGCAAGTGATGTTGTAGCATTGAGGTTCCAGCATCTGCATTAGGTTGCTGACTGCGCTTGATCGTGTTCATGCCGCCGAGAAATGTCGTACCATTGACAGGCTTGATCACCAGTCACGGCTCTCGCTCATGAACCACATCACACATCCTCACCTTCGGTGTACTTTGCCAAAACAGTTGAAGTCCGTCATTCAGATCGAAAAGTCCGGCTCGTCGAGGAGCAAGTCGTGAGAGCACATGAAGAGGCTAGTGGCAGCTCCGACCTCAAACCACCGCCGTCTCCGGCTAACGTGGTTTCAGTTGCCAGCACCGGCTCACCGCCACTTCCACCGCTGACGCTCCCACCCCTCCATTCCCATTGCTCGTGAGGCACTTTGGCACGTTGGCAGCAATTCCAGGCACCTTCCCGCCTGCCACAACACCCGCTGACAGTGACCTTTGAACTCAGCGACCAGCGAACTGGGACAAAAGCTCCACCAACGTCCAGACCAGATTCAGCCACGTCGACACATCGTAGGTCAAGTCGAAGCGGGTCAAGATCCGTTCGTTTAGAATAAAGTTGCTACCTGTCGGGGCCGTCCCTGCGTGCTCCCAGTTATAAAAAGAAATCATGTTGCCTTCTTCAGTCATGTGGCCACGTAGCGGAGCCGGGGAAATGCATGATTGCTGCAAGCTGTCTGAGTCCTCCTGTGATCTGTGTTAGAAGTGTCGTGCCCAAGATCGATGTCGAAGACTGTTGAACTTATCCAAAATTCAGATCTACGTCAGTTCGATCGTCTCACTGCCCCAACCAGAAGAAGTTTGGGGCTATCCTTCGAAAGCATCGCTCTCCTTGAGCATCATCAGTCGGGCGCAGTCGATATGAGCAGGGTACAGTCGTGTTTCCGCATCTCCTGCGTGTCAAACTGCAGCCTCAGAAGACGGCACGATCAACACTGGGTTTGATCCTCTAGCTCCTCTTCAAAGATGGCTCAGCCACACACAAGCTGAAGTCCTACGAAGCAAAGCGGACTTACGAGCGGCCGGTAATGTGAAGGTTCCGTCCGACAACTACAGCAAAGACAACTCGACGTCATACAAGTGCAGCTGAGGGAGAATGATCAACAGTTGACGGAAGTGATGGAAGCAGTAGCGAAGCTGCTTGAACTTGGAAACACACGAAGTGTTGTCCAGTCTGCTTTCGGATCTCGCTGATTGAAAAAGAACACACAGCAAGCCAAAGTCATGCTGACCTACGCCATTCGCGACATCACTGGCAAGATAGCAGCACTTCCTGCGTGTCGTTTAGAACAAGCAGGTCGCCGACTTGCAAAAGAGTCACCTGTGACATGTGTTCAAGCTCTACCCAGTGATTTTCGTTCGCATTGCTCCTCACTATTGAGTATTACAGATCTGAGACCGTTCTTGCGACAGTTAAACAATGCACTCCAGCGTGATTTACCGCGTAAGCAAGATCGCCTCCTTTCATTGAGAAGGGGGGCGGGTGTGTGTGTGTGTGTGTGTGTGGGTGGGTGGGTGGGTGGGTGGGTGGGTGGGTCATCCCTGTATCGCAGGGCTAGTTTTAGATGCACTGGTCATACTGCATTAGACAGAAGCAGGGAGCTGGAGTGCAGCGCAGAAAAACCACCCAACGAAGGCATGGTGCAGTTGGGGAGAGTTACTCAAATTGATGGCCGTCATGGTAGCTATTTGCTTGCATCGTTATTGCATTCTGAGCTTTGACGTGTCCGCTTGCGCTGCTTACATGTCGAGTTGTGCAGTCGCTGTAATCTGAATCTGAGCCTTGAGTCGCAGCTCCAGAAAAATCAAATTACAGTATAGCATCAGTGGCGACATTCCAGAGCAACAGATCTGATACACATTTTTCAGTCACAGAGTGTGTGTGTGTGTGTCTGTGTTTGTGTGTGTGTGTGTGTGTCGGTGTCGGGGCCGCCGCCTTGCTCGCAAAGACTTGTTTTGAAAGGCCATGCTCTTCGTGGTCGTGACTGCAAGTGCATTCCGCCACCACGCAATGCAGCTAGGCTGTTAAAGGGTCCGAACTTGGGACCTTTGACCGAATAGGTTGATCAAGTTTTTTGCCGGGATTGTTAAGCCCTACACTTGAGGCAGTGCCAGAGTGCATCCGAGAAGGATCGGGATAAGGCGCCTGATCTGAGCTTATGCAGTTGCAGTATTTCATACATACCGGTCAGTCTTTCTGTTGACTTGACGCTTCTAGCAGTCCTGTGGTGGTCGACATACCGACATACCCGTGTTCTGCTCCTTCGCCCTGCCAAGCCCAATGTTGAGAAGACGGTGCAGCACTTCAGGGCTCCGAATCCTCAAAGGTGCTGTGCTGTACCCAAGTTCGGGCTGTCCCAGACCCGCAGATTATGGCAACGACTATGTTTGGCTGCAGCCGTCAGGTAGGCGGCATCAGGTTCAAGACAAAGGTTGAAGGCCAGGATCGCATTTGAGGCAACGACATCAGGAAGGGGAATCGTTCCCTGTTCCACAACGTCAAACTCGGTCGACTGCAGGGAGTAGGTCCAATCGCACATGTGCACGGCGAGCTTCTCCTTGCACAACGGTTTGTCAGAGCTAGGCAGCTAGCGAAACTGAGGTGGTTGTTTTGTGCCTGGTACGATACATGCGCATTGCCAGGCATCATGCCTGTGCTGCGGGTCGAGAGGTCATTTCTTTCGTCCACGCGATGTCCAAAACCATGGAGGTTGAGGAAAGCCCGTGAGTGATGAATGAGTAATCGTCAGCAGGAGCAGACATGAAGGAGTTCCTTGCAAGGTCTAAAGGCACTCGCTGATGATGCAAGGCCGTCAGCAACATTGCACCGGTCCTTGCCATCTGCCTTTCTTGCCCATTTCTTCCCTTTCATCCTTTGCTCCAATCTTCATCTTGCCACCATCTGTCTGCCCGGAAATCTTCCGTTAACATCATCGGCAACATGGGCCTTTCCTTTCATTATCACGACCCTAAAGAGGCGGCGGCCGCCTTTGCCCTTGTCCTTGCCCTTGCGGCGGCCTTGATGCATCTCTCTTCCGCTGACCTTCGCTGGAACCAGGTGTACGAGGCAGTACGAGGTGTCATCCAAGATCCAGAACGCTATGCATACGACATGCTGTCCAGGAAACCTCCGGCACCATCTGCCTCGTCTTCACACCTAAACCCATGCACAAAGCTTCCTCGGGACCTGGAATGTGGCAACGCGGGACTCTTCACTGTCGTCCTCAATCAATATTGCCTTCGGTCCTCAGCCAGGTTCGCGATTCCAACAAACCATGAAGGCAGCGAGGGTTTTTTGTTACCGGTCGTGCTCGGTGCGTTGCTTCCAGCTTTGCGTTGACTCTCTCTAATGCTTGCGATCTAGCGGTTGTGGTTTGTTCTTCTGGGTAGCTATGCAACGTGACTGCTACTGTATAGTGTGATATGCTGTATCTAGTATCTACTATCTACTTCGTTCGCGTTCGTGATCGGAGTATAGTTCATCCACCCACCATCCTGTTGAAAAAGCTGGGATTGGGACATCCATCGAAGTATAGCTGCGCTTCTGTGCAAGGTCACTGCTGGAACGGCTCCTTTCGCAAAGAACGGATGCAGGAAGTTCATAAGACACGTCAGTCTGGTATCCATCTTCTTCAATTCACGGAATGCATACATGGTTCAAGCCAGTGGACTGAACATGT